CTAAATAAAATAATTCATGCGCGTTCATATTCCCCGCTGCCGTAACGTTAACAGTTTTATTAATATGCTACGCATTTAGCCCTATGTGACGTCTTTTTTTATATTGTTTATTAACAGTATAAATTTTTATATTGTTTGGAATAACTAGCCGAGCAGACAGATATGAATGTTTATGCATAATAACCATACTGAAAATAAGTAAATATTGTTAGCTGATGCTAACTGTCTAGCTAACAAGGTTGCTGGTGCTAAATTTAGGTAATTTTTAGATATAAAGTCCAAATATTTTTACTCAACCACCTAGATAGATTACATCTGAGGGAAAAGAAAGAACAGAACATGGTAACTACAGTAATTATCAAAGTGGGAAGTGATGCCCTCTGGGGGCATTTGGCCAGGGGTGTTTTTACACCACAGACAAGGTTTGAGAAGAAAACAAATCATTATATGTATCTGTACTTTTACTCAAGTACTTGATTAGTGTACTTCGTCCACCACTGACCAGGCTACAATAGTCCAAATATAAGTACTTATTATAAGTGTACCGTAGTGATTCGGAATAAGTTTGGAAGATGAATTCATGATGTACTCGCTCATTATACACATTTTGCAAATTTTGAACACAGAAAAAGTTACATAGTGCTGCTTTAAGGCATCTAAAGATCAAGTTCATACCTGCCCATCATCCTTCACCATGATGTTACTGTTGTGTCTGTCACCGATGCCCAGAATGAAAGTAGCCACACAATAGCCAGCGCAGGATCGTGTAAACAAGTCGATGGCCATGTCGTACCTATTAACACAGCTTATCTTGTTAAAAGATATTTGAATACTAGATATCTGAATCTCATTTTGATTTTAAATGGTGAAAATAATTATTAAAAACATATTTGCCACTCACATCTCGCCCTTATTCTTGTCCTTTAGCCACTGATGCAACGTTGAACTGTTAAACTGAAGCGCACCTTTTAGACCTCCTTTACACTGAATCTGCATGATGGTGTGGGAACTTCTCACCACCTCAATGAGACCCACGCAGTCTCCAATAGACAAGCAGCCATAAGGGAGCATTCTGGGATACCAAAAATTTGAGAGTTGATATAAAATTGCACATATTTTCAAGATCAGTCAAGACTTGTCTGCAGCAAAATTAAGAACAACTTAACATTAATACCTGGTTAACTACTATTTATTTGGCTGAACAATGTTTTGGTTACCAGGCAAGATGTTTAACCACTACGCCCACATACCTCAGGTCCAGCCCCTGATTTTGCCAAATGTTCTCCATTATTCTGATGATCTGTAGTGTCAGCATGTCTTGCCGCAGGTCTAGGGAAAGCAAAAGATTTAGTTTTTTACTATATAAAAAGGACATTCATACTAAAAACGAAAAAAAAAAAAAAAAAGAGAATAAAAATCTGACCATCCCCATTCTTGAAGATGATCTCATTGTTTTGGAAGAGAAGTTCGGACATGATGTCAGGATTTTCCCAGTTCAGCCAGAGCGGTCTCTTGGCAGAGGACATGATTCTGCAGTCTTCAAGTCTAACAGGCAAACAGAAAAAAAAAAGAGTCACCAATCAAACAGACTACCGTTCAAATGCGTATGGTCAGTGTTTTTTTTTAATTTTTTATAGTTTTTGAGAGAAGTTGTGCTCACCAAGGCTGCATTTATTTGCTCAAAAATTCAGTAAAAACAGTAATATTGTGAAACATTACAATAAAAAAAAAAAAAAAAAGTTTTCTATTTGAATATATTTTCAAATGTAATTTATTCCTGTGATGCAAAGCTGAATTTTCAGCATCATTACTCCAGTCTTCAGTGTAACATGATTCTTCAGAAATCATTTTAATAAGCTGATTTGCTGCTCAAGAATCATTTATTATTATCAGTGTTGAAAACAGTAACAGGTTCTGCTTAAATTTTTTTAAGATTTTAGGAAGAAACCGTAGGAAGTTCAAAAGAACAGCATTGATTTGAAAAAGCACATTTTGTAATTTTGTCTGCTAAGTGAACATACATTCTCTCAGCTGTAAATGCTGCATAGTGTGGTACTCACCGTAGATTACCCAGCTGGTGGGCGGGGTTGAGTGGAGAGGTGAAATTTTGGAGGGCATCCATGTAGTCTGGTCGCCTCATCTGTTCCACCAGGAACTTCATTTGCACCTGAAAAACCAAAACAAATACACTTTAAAATAAAAGTCAGTCAATAAATTAAAATATAATTCTAAGGTCAACATCAGGGCAATGAATGATCTTAGATTTTTATTTAATTTGATTGATTTTTCTATTTTCTACTGCTCTATTATCGATTTCCCACTACACCAGGAGGCGGGTGCAATAAAATGAAATGAAAAATAAAAATGCATTTATCAATAATTTTATCACATATTAAAAAGGACCACTTTCATTTTGATAATTTTTGTTCCATAATTAATAACTCCTAAATGTTGTTTAATTTTCAGTTATTTATCTGTTTTAATTCAATTATTTTTTATCAAATTGCAGATTCATTAATCCATTTATCCACATGCTAACAGCTTTTTTTTTTCAATTTATTTATACATTTGCCAGTTGATTTATTGATTCCTTAACTGATTTTTCAATAATGAAATAATTATGATTTGAGCCCACATTATGAAGAGCTTCTCAAACCTGATTCACAGCAAATGCAAAACAACTTAATAGGCTAATGAACTTTAGGCTTAACTACTTAACAACACCGAGTGGGATGTTTATTGTAATGCCTGAATGCTTTTTAAGGATCACCTCACAGAGTGGATGTTGTATCCTCCGTAAATCTTATCTGAGAGCTAAGGTTTCACTTGCAGTGTACGTAAAGACTCTCCTAACATAACCTCACGTGCCCATGCAACTACCTACTTTTTGGTGAGGTGAGAAGGTCAAAGGCTGAGTTTACCTTCTGAGTTTCATCCTTCTTCTCCTGTTTGAGAATGTCTGTGAGGTTGATGAGCTTCTCCATGGCTTCCACCTGTCTGCTCAGGTGCTTCAGGTACATGCCACATGCCCGACAGTACGACTCCAGCAGCAGACCAAACCGCTGACTCACGGTTTTATTGTGCATTTCTGACCTGCAACCCCACAAGATAGGTTACAATTTAACTTCATTTGGAACTTCAGAAACATGATCATGATGTTTAGGTCAGTGTACGTAAAACCCTGACAGAAAAGAGAACAAAAAGAGGAAATCTCTTACTTCAAATGCCAAAAGAAGAAGTGCCCAATCCTCTGGTTGGTAAGAGCTTTTTTCAGCAGAAATCGCACCAGTGGGTTATCAAGATACTGCTCATACTTCAAAACCTTAAACAAATGTAAGATGAAACATTGAAAAATCAAAAGTAAACACAAGGACATTTATAATTAATAACTGAATATATCAGTCTTACCTGAACCAACTGAATGAGGTACTGCGAGAGTTTGTCATCGGTCAGATACTTCTCAAGGCACCGAACTGCGAAGTCTCGGATCATTGGATCAGGATAGTTACAGTCAAGCAACTCCATGGCTTGTTCCGGCTTTATTGCGGGCCAGTCTTTAAGAAGGCAATACATCTGTGCAACTTCATCCCTAGAATTCCACTTCACCGCCAGAAGAATCTTGGGCAGAATTTCTGGAATATTTACACAATACTGCCTAGAGTAAAAAACACAAATACAGTTTTAAATAAACTTTTCTACCAATAGGCACCAAAATGAGGAGAGCTAATGGGGGCGTTAGACTACCTGTGTCTCCATAAGAAGTCTTTTTCCTGCTCAGTGATCTCAGAAAGCGGGTCCCTGTTGCCCAGCTGACGAAGTTGCTCTATATCAGCCTCCGTCATGGCGTGGTCTCGTGCGAGTCTGCTGCTCTGTAAGTCAGATGAGAAAATCAATTAATAAACACAGAACAAATTTCACAAAGAAAAATGTCCTTGCAAAGGAAAATAAATTCATTCATATTTTATTAATGATTAATATTTACTTCATAAAATTTAAAATATTGCAATATTTACAACTGTACAAATATATTTATTTTCTTCCATTTTATTTTATATACATTGCCATTCAAATGTTTGGGGTCAGACATACTTTAAGAAATTCATACTTTCATTCAGAAAGGGCCAAGGGCACTTCATTATTCCACAAAAATAATATCAATATTGCTGTTTCTTGAGCAGCAAATCATCATATCAGAAAGAAGTATCATGTGACAATGTGAAAATTCAGCTGTCGTCATCACAGGAATAAATTACATTTTAAAATGTATTAAAATAGAAAACAGTTATTTGAAAGTGTCATATTATTTCACAATATTATTATTTTTATTGAATTTTTGATCAAATAAATGCAGCCTAGTGAGTATAAGAGACTTCTTTCAAAAACATTTTTAAAATAGTACTGACCCCAAACTCAAATTCTTGAACAATAGTGTACTTTCAATGTGAATAAACCTCAATCACAGTTCAGAAATGAGATTTTGAGCAACAATCTTTGCAAGACAGACCTAATAGGACCTCTGTTGTCATTAAACATCATATGGTGCCTGTTTTTGTAGAATTGATGCATCAGTGATTTTTAACAAGAAAGCAGTAGTTTTAAAACCTTGATGAATCAGCAATGTTTTGAGAAAGTGAATAAGCCTCCAGGACCCATGCTGCTAAAAAAAAGTGTACTGTCACTGCTGAGATCTATTACAAAGTCAAATTAATGAACATGATAATTAATAATTGGAATAATGACACAGACTCGTGAGGTGACCGTAGAAAATGACCGATGTTTCTCATGCTCCTCAGGCTTGTAAAGGGTATTAATAGCAGCAGGAAGTGTGTCAGTATAATTAATTAATTAGGATGTGTGTCTGTAAGCTAACCTGTCCAGACTGGCAGTAATTGTATCCCATCTCCCTGGATATTATCCAGTTAGCATGATCCTCAATCGTGGCCATGTCAGGGTACTTAACAGGGGAGCTGAAATAGTCGAACTCCAGCTCTAGACATGGGGTTTCCTAGAGCAAAAATAAATGAATAAATGAAATATACAGCAAAACACATGAACAAATCAAGTAACTAAATAACACTTTAATAAGAACTAATACAGTTTTAGCATCTATGCAGATACACTCCTAAATTTTGTATTAAGGCCATTAGATTTTTCTTGTAAATAAAAAAATAAGTAAATAAACAAAATACTGAATAAACAGATTTAGAACATATGCTCTTGATTAACCATGTCACCTCAGATTAGACAACCTAGAGGAATCGTATTAGAGCTTATTAAAGTGACTCAGTGCTCGAAGAGGTTATGCAAGAGAGGAAACCTTATTAGGGTTGGAGCCCGTGACCCCAATGGGGTTGAGGAGGTCTTCAAGGCCGTGTGGTACTGGCCACAGGTTCAGTGCCATCTTTCCTGAGACCAGAGTGTGTGTGTAGTCAAACAGGTTGACGTTTCCCCAGGCCAGTGGACAGTGCTCCTGTAGAAGATCATTTAAATGTTAATTTCAAAGCCCTCTGAAGCAAGCACAATTAGAACAATATATATATTTTTTTCATTAATTTACATTTTTAGAACTTTAATTTTAGTTTTGTTATGCGCTTTTGTCATTTTAATTATTTTTATTGTTTTTTTTTCTATTTCTATTTAGCTTTAACTTATTTTAATTGTAGTCATTTTAGTATTTCAACAAACTTATTTTCAGTTGCCAAGGCAACATTTGTAGTTTCTTTTAATGCACGTTCTCATTGATTATTTATATTTTATTTAAGCATTATTTCAATTAACAAAAGCTATTTTAATAGTTTTAGTTTACCGTAACAACACTACAAAAAAACAAATCATCACCTCTTTTGCCCCCTTCCTTCCTTTCACAGAGCAGATGGAGAGACAGAGGCGAGCTGCCCGGGGGATGTCGGGAATGTACATGTCATAGGTCAGCCACTCGTTCCACCTGGAGACAGAAAGAGAAGATGTCAGCATGCTATCAATTTTTTCAAATGTATCATTTTGCATTTCAAATATCTAACACTTTTGGAAGTCATAATACTGGGCATGACATCAGGGGTCGGCCAACCTTCGGCCACCACTGGCATGGTGAGGGCAATCGCTGGCATACAAGAGAAATTAATATGACTAATTATCATGTGGCCAGGGCCAACAAGACTGAAGTAAATCTATTTACTTGTGCTACCCACTGACAGCATGGACCTAGTCGTTGAGTTGGGTGGTACAACGCCACTTACACACTCTGCAGTGAACTTTGTATAAATGAAGGGGATATTATGAAATGAGGATTTCTACAGAAAAAAAGACAGGGTGGGGTGTTTATGTCACAGTGATTACCAAGAAAAATGGCACTTCATGTCAGAAATGCTGCACTAGAAGAAATTCCTTCACTCCTTTGACATTTAAAGCCAACATAGCACATCTGCATACTTCGGTTCACTTTGGTTTTTACTACATTATAAAGTATGGAAGCCTGTTTCTGACACAGAATTAAAAAAAAGAAAAAGATAATTGCAATTTTTTTCTCACAACTCTGACTTTATTTCTCACATTTACGAGTTTATATCTCGCAATTATGAGATAACATCTTGCAATCTTTTTTTTTTTTCAGAATTGTGAGTTTATATCTCACAATTGCATTTCATGAACATAATATGTGATTCTGTGCATTAATATGAATATGAAATGGAATGCACCAAAAAAATGTATTGAACAAAATATGCACTTTGACAGATGCTTTCATCCATGAAATTAGGCTCCTGTTAAAAGAGATATAAACTAATGTTAAAATTGCAAGACACATACTCATAATTGCGAGAAAGAAAGAATTATGAGATAAAAAGTCACAACACTTTCCCTCAGTAATTAATCAACTGTAGTATCAGATAGGACCAGTGATCGCACGGTACCTTGGGTTTGAACACGGCACACGCTGTGTATTGACATTATCACACAATTGTTCTCCACCATGGTAGATCCCTGTCCGCACATAAATCTGAAACAAAAGGTAAAAACCAATGAGCAAACAGCCTCTTAGATCAAGTAAATGCTAGTGCAGAAAATTATAAGAAGAAAAACACAAACAGCTTCCTGTTCTTTCACGGTATGAAACTTCTGCTATCTTACTAAACACTTCCCATTCGTTTTTTTTTATAATAAAAGACTTTCAGAATACAAAAAGACATCAGCTAAGCACCTTGTCAATGTCCCGAATATTCACATTAACGTATGTGGCACAAAGGACACGTATCCTTAGAGTGCTGTTAATGGTCCAGAGGGATTTGGTGGAGGCCTCTCCGTTCATGTAAGGCGTGGCAGTGGAGATGCGGCGGGCGTAGGAGGGCATGGTGAAGTTGTCCATAGGCAGCTGAGAGTAAAGACTGTCCTTGGACATAAGCATGAGGTTTGGCAACCGACCCAGCATAATGCAACTCCGTACATACTGACAGAACCAGAAAGAGAGAAACAGTGAGAGATTTTGTACATAAAGCCACATAATCAGCACATCTCATGGACTGTTAAGTCATCCAAAATGTCCAGAGCTATTTTTAGTGTCCTAAACACTAATTCTGGCCGTGCTTTTTGATGGGATGATATAAAACTTCAAATGCAGCCGGATACTCAGACTACTCATTTGCATTCTGTGTACTGGCTGGTTTTGAGATAATGAAAGCCTGGAACAAACACATGACGACTAGGAATTTCAGATGGCTAATTAATCAGTGCCCAGTATGAAACCACAAATCTGTACTCAAGATAAAAAAATCATGAGAACACAACAAAAAAAAGTATATAAATTGCATTCATACACAGAATAAAAGACGGTTATTCAAGTGAGACCAAAAAGATCTAGATACCTTGTACTGACTAATGGGGTACTTTTCCAACAGATACTCGTCACAGCCGCAGACTTTCAGGATGTATTTGCCCTGATATTCTTGCACGCACATCTTTAGTTGCTCAGCGGACAGCAGCATGCTCCTGGTCTTCTTCCTGATGGCTTCAGCGATCACCTGCTCAGGTACGCAGTCGTGATTGATCTTTAGTGTGTACTTTTGCTTGTCGTTGTTGGGAGAGACGATCACCCAGATGACCACAATGATTTGACCTAGCACACAAAGAAGACCAGAGAGTTAACAGGAACAGCATTATTGAATTGATTCCTTCAAGCATTAAGCATGTGAGAACAAACAATTAATCCCACATGGCAACTGAGTGTGTTAAAAAGAAAGGCTGGATATTGAATGCATCCCAATGAAGTTGTCAGGGAATGAATGTAATGAAGTGGTTGTGCATGCATTCCTCCAGGGTAAGAGGAAACAAAGGAGCAAAAGCAAAAAACAAGCATCATATGCTTCATGACTACTACTATTAAAACACAGGCCCATTCACATATGAAAGAAAACAACATTGCTGCAATACAAAACTTCCTGGAATGACTCTACACTATGAAGATTACTACTGGCTTCAGGGTATAAACCATAAGGAAACATTCCATGCTATTTTCAACCTCAGAATTAATGTGCCGCATCTGCGGCATGCTGTCGATTACCACAGTCAATAATGTTGACTGGTCAGTCAATGTGTATTAACAAAAACACAATGAAAGCCTAGCAGGCAGTTGGGCAGCACTATTAATAAATGTTTAAACCATGCAAATATCACACTGCTTTGAACGTGCCTGTTCAATAATGTGCTAGCATTAGACTAGTGTGGTAAATCAGAATTTATATCAAATATAAAATCAGCATTTTCAGCTTTTTGACTATATTTGAAATATTTTAATTTATATATATTTTCCTCAACATTTCCTTAAAAAAAATATAATGATATTTAATTATTTTTATTTTAATGCACTTTTAATTCACTGTAAAATAAAGATAAAAAATTATATACCAAGACAATTTAGAGCATCGAAAATCAGGGACTTCCTTTTATTTATCTGAGGAATGATGCAAACAAATTGTTAAATCAATGCATTGATTTTTTTTTTTTAAACAAACGGTTCAAAATAAGTGAAATTTACATTAGGTAGTATATTAAAATATCTCTGACTTTTGACACTCACATACAAGTCAGGACACAAGCATGACACAACATTTGTCTAAAAAAAAACACTAACTAGGAGCTAAAATAAAAAAAACACTGAATAATGTATATAATTTAAAAACCTGAACACGGTTCCTTTAGCATAATATATGCACAGGAATAACAGGAACGGACCTAGAACCGTAATTAGGGTTGCCAACTTCAGAAAATGAAAATAAGGGACAACTGTGACTCTACATGGGAAAATAAGGGACGCTCAAAATATTTGTTCTGTACCACATAGAGTGTCTTAATTTCCGTGTCTACAATTAAGTGTGTATAAAAGGTTCAAAATAATCACAATTGTTTTGCTTAACCTATGTACAATTATTTAAAAAAATAAAGTTTATTATCATACAAAAAAGTCACACATTACACACAAAGCATCGGCCCGAGTAAATTTTACCACTATAGAATTGTGACTACACAAGTGGTGTAGTAAATTAGGAGATGAATATACTGTGAAATTACATACAATATGGCACAAAATTTGAAAGTATAACAACTGAATGTCTATGAAACGTCAGTCAATAAAGATTTTTTTTAAACAACGGCATTTCAAATTTGGAACAAATATTATTGCAACCATGTCGCCTATGAATGCATAAAAATTAAAGAGAACTCTGAGTGTGTGGGCTGCTTTTGGTGCTTGAATTTGTTCATCAATAATGAGGTCCAAGTTTAGGAATACGCTAGAAGTTAAAATTTTAAAAATGTGTAATTCTGTTTCTCTATTTAACAACATTAACTTACAATACTGAAAGACGTCTTCCCTCAGGTAGATTGCATGTTTTCTTGCCTAGCTGGAAGTTGTGCTTATGATCAATAATCACGTTCTTTACATTCACCCAAACTGATTTCCTGAAATCAAAACGCAGATGGTGAAGGGGATTGCCGTTAGTGCGAGCGACCAGGCGGCAGAGGATTCTGCAAGGTCTTAAAGCCTTCCTTGAGTGGCTATGTTCACAATTCAAACAATGATTTGTGCAAAAAGAATGATTCAATTTGTTATTTGTATGGTCTAGATGGTCATGCCTGTGAATACGGGACAAACTGCGGTCTGTAGAGCTTTCATACGGAACGCTTCTCTGATGCCTTAAAAGGGGACAATTCCATATTATACGGAACAGTTGGCAACCAGTTGAGTTCTGCAAATTCTGCCCACAGAAATTACACTGGCAAGTCATAAGCAGAAGTGCCAAGAAAAGTTGTCTCACTTCAAAAGAACCATTTAAAGAACGTCATAGCTCAAGAAAGACTTTTTTTAGCTCTCGAAGACAATGCGAGTTTGCATGGCCAAGCACCATTCAAAATCTCAATGTTAGGTTGTTCTGAGTAGCTCCCATGTTGTTATGCGTTTGCTTGGTAAAATAATTCACCAGAGTTATTGTCAGCCAAAGGAAAATTGTAAGTCTGTAAGTAAAATAAAGTAATAGCTTTGCACAATTCGAGGTATCATACCCTTACAACAGAGGGCAGGGCAAGTTACGGCCAAAGATTAAAACTTAAAACCACTAATAGCAATAATGTTTTACAGAAGAATTCATGCAAGTAAATGACAACATGCCCTTTGGTCCATAAACTTGAAATTAAAAATAACCCAGAATATTCCTGTAAAAGAACAAACCTACCTTTGTCTAATTTGCCATATATATGCTTTGGAAGCTCTGATGAAGACTCCACGTTAGGAGGATAAACATATAGCGCTCGACTGTGTGACCCACTGGCATCTCGCAGCTCTACTGAGTCTTTGCAGACATTAAGAATATTTCTCCTAAAGTCCTGCACCTCAGGATCCTTCACTAGATCAAACTCGCACACCGGCATGCCGATGGCAAAACCTGAAACACATTAAAAAACACCATCTTAGAACAAAGTAAGAAGAGGAAAGAGATAAACACGCTGAATCAAATACAATACCCTTCAAAAGTTTTTTAAACTTCAACTTTTTTAACTAATTGATTTGAAAATACAGTAAAAAAAAAAAAATAGTAATATTGTGAAATAATATTACAATTTAAAATAACGGACTTTTGAATGGTAGTGTATGTTTTTCAGAAATAGGGATGTGAAATTCATTACTGAATTTCAGTTCAGGTGAAATGTTTTGAATTTGTTTCAAGTCATGCTTATATGCATATGGTTATTAAAAGAAAAACCAGTCTATGTGTGAGGTGTTACCGATTTCTCTGTTGAGGATTTTTTCCTCTCTGTTCCCTACAGGTTCTATGACCTTTAGGAAGGGCTGGAACAGCCGAAGGTCGCAAAGTCTTCTCGTCTCATCGTAGAACTCCTCACGCTCCGCCTCTTGCGTTACACTGACGAAAATATAGGATGTCTCCTCCTGCAGCAGGTGGTGGAGGGGGTACTTCCTTGCCTCCTTAAACAGTTCGTGTTTGATTGTGATGAGGGTGGCCTCCCGGAGACACTCTAGTGTCAAGATCATGCCATTGGGCAGTAGACAGTCTACCAGAATCCTGGGGGGCATCAAATGGATGCCCCATAGTTCCCCCGAGGAGGGTCTTGGAGGCATGATGTGTAGTCCTCACAATCAATTACCAGTGGAAAAAAAACCTCCAAACTCTTCTTCACCTGAGGGGGAACAGGATGAATTAAGTATGTTTTGGCAACATGTTTGACATCATGCACTGTTTTCAATAACAATAAAAATCAACGGAAAAGACAAAATGTTCAGCATTGCAAACTACACCTCAGATAAACAAGTCAGCATGTCCCAAAATAAACAAATTAGGTCTTGAAAGTTAAACTGTAACAAACAGGAACATAGATCGTAAAAAAGCATAATAAACAAAAGTGATGCTACTGATTGACCTGCGTTATTTAAGGTTTTACCTACTGATATCACTGATCATATACACTACCATTCAAAAATTTGGGGTCTGTAAGGTGTTTCCACAAAAACATTAAGCAGCACAACTGTTTTCAACATTGATAATAAATCTGAGCAGCAAATCAGCATATTAGAACGATTTCTGAAGGATTATGTGACACTAAAGAGTGGAGTTATGGCTGCTGAAAATTCAGTTTTGCATCACTGGAATAAATTGCATTTTTAAATATATTAAAACAGAAAACAGTTGTTTTAAATTGTAATAATATTACAATATTACTTAATATAACTTTTTACTGTATTTTTCATTAAAAAGCAGCTTTGGTAAGCATAAGAGACTTCTTTCATAAGCATTTTTTAAAATCTTACCAATTCCAAAGTTTTGAATGATACCTAAAATGACACACAACAGTACTAAACCATGAAGCCAAAATAATCATTTAATGCAGTCACATCACTGACATCAGTCTTAATAAAAAACATGCTTACAGGAAGTGCAGTACAACCCAACAACACTGAGTCACTGAGCAATGACAGAAATGTATCACTCTGTAAGAGAGGAGAGATATTTCCACATAACATAGAGCCAAAAACATTTGGCACTTCATACTGAAGTGGATGACTTGTTTTTCCCTACAAACATGAGCCAACAAACAGACTCCCGTATGCATCTCCTAGGTGTAAGGCTGCTGAAAGTGATTCACCAATCTGACAAACAGCACCTTTCACCATGTTAATGTGTGATCTGAAATTATTGGATTTTAAAACTAGGCCATGTGAGATGAACACGTCAGATCTTTTGTCCTGACTATACTCAGATGTAGTTCTTCCAGTTTATTCATGTAAAACACCATGCAAATGTTTATTACAGAGCTTTGTGAATCTTGGTAACACCACTTCATCCTTTCACTTTTTATTGCTAGACATCTCTTCAGAGTAAAAAGAAAGCAGATGAATCCATATTTCCATAAGATGGTGGCATTTGTGCTTACCTTAATCTGATGTTAGGGCTGCTTGAAAATGTAAATGTCTATCATAGTTCAGACTTTCATCTCATCTGTTTGCTTTATAACTTCTCTTCAGGTCCTCTGAATTATACTGTAACAACTGCAAACATTGACAAACATTCAGTGTCTAGTGGAAAGCAGACCAACACGCACAGTTTACCCAAAACAACTCAACCTATACCCATGCCAACACTACAAACCACAACAAACCTCCACAGCAGTGTTTAGAGTGACAGAGATGGGAAGATAATAAGATTACGAGGTTTATCATTCTTGCATATGAATAGACTGAGCCACAATGGCAGAGAACCATTTGCTAAAATTAACGGTTTATAAACATATAAGTCAGGTTTATTACAACACCTTAACGTTATATCCAAGTGTATTAGTTTAATCAGAGTAGAAACATGTATTAATGTGACTATAAACCGGCTTCATACACCGCTAAACAAGTGTTCCATAAATAAACAAGGTGAAATTTATGAAAAGTATTTTAGTCCATTAAAAAAAAAAACGTACTATATCTTAAAGCAGAAACATATTTTGAAGGTTCATATACATGACATATTTAGCCAGCTAACAATCCCAGACATAATATACTAATTAAAAGGAAACTGCCATTTACATTTGTTAAAGAGCTTAAAAATTCCAAAATAAAAAGAAATCTTGGTTAGCGTGTAAATAAGTCATTAAAGATGGATTATTTCTTAAAACAATAAGATATTGATTCCTTTAGCCACCTAGCCGCTAGGCTAATCCGCTAAACGAACCCGATAACTTTCATATAAAAAAATGCAGTAATATTAAGATTTGTTAAAGAGCTTAAAAATTCCAAAATAAAAAGAAATCTTGGTTAGCGTGTAAATAAGTCATTAAAGATGGATTATTTCTTAAAACAATAAGATATTGATTCCTTTAGCCACCTAGCCGCTAGGCTAATCCGCTAAACGAACCCGATAACTTTCATATAAAAAATGCAGTAATATTATTTTAGTACTATAATATAGTAAGATTATAGTCATAAAAACCACATAAACTTTAAAATACCACCAGCGTTGTTATTCAAAACAATAAAGGAATAAACACATATCTCACGTTTATGTGTATAGCTAATAAGGGTATGTACCGGAGAGTTGTTGTGAGGTAATCCGCTGTTGGTGTTCAGTCACTCGTTCGGGGCTGTAAATCAAGCGCGGGGCTTTGCTGGGCCTCTAGCCGCCCCGCTCTGACACGCACCGCCTCTACATCATCACAGCAGCGGCGCGGCGGATCGCGAGCAATGTTTTCACACAAATCATTCATCACCGAGGGAGAAAGACGAAATACATGCTGTCCAATATCCCATGGATTGGATAAAAATCGCCAGAAACGCTGTCACGACGGAATAAGGGAGGATCCTGGAAGCAAACAAGCACCAAAGTGGCCAGATAGATAAGAGGGAGGGTGACTGTGCTAGAGAGAGAGAGAGAGAGAGAGAGAGAGAGAGAGAGAGAGAGAGAGAGA